AGCCCGTCACGCTGCTGGGCGCCTCTGGCTCTGTCACCATCTGTTCTCATGGCTCTCTAGGGCTGTCTGTCTGTCTGTCTGTCACCACCCCCACTCTTCTCCTAAGAGCCTACTGGAGCCGGAGAAAGAAGCCTGGAAGGTGGGGTGGGAACTTGAGTCTCAACAAAAAGTGGCAAGTGACCCAGTGAGCTCGCCGTTTGTGCGTTGATCTGTATGAACAGTGCCTCCCTTGCCTTGCTTGTCTTCCATCCCTTCTTCCTTGCCCTTTATTTTCCCCGAGTATCTCTGGGAAATCTTGCCCGTGCCAGCTGTCTGAGAAAATTGCTTTGAGCTGGGTGGATGCTGACTGTGTTATCACAGTTTGGGCCCCTCCGGACCCACCTGAACAGGTGGTTCAAAAGTGGAGACCCCCTGAGGAGGCCTGGCCCTTGGCAGCCCCCTCCCCTTGCTCTGTTTTACTGTCTTGTGTGAAAGGTTTCCTGGTACTATAAACAAAGTCCCCATTCTCTCCCTGTGTCTGTCTTCTTGTGGGGACTGGCTCACCCCCTCAGGGCTCACAGAGCTGAGACAGCATGGGCGTTTCTTGTATGTCCTGTCTACGACAGAGATAGTCTCCCCAGCTCCAGCAGGGGAGGGGGCTGCGCACAAACCTGCGTGCCCTCCGGGTCCCACACTGAGGTCCACTTTTGCCTTTTATCTGATCTGTGCCCACTGACTTGCCCTCATCTCCGAGGCGTAGTATAAAACCAGCCTCACGCCCCTGGCTCCAGCTTCCTGCCTGTGAGCCGCCCCTAAGGTGACTATAGGTCCTTAGCAGCAGAGACAGTCCAGGGTCCTCAGCCTCCTGGTTATAACCCAGGAAGCCAGCCCCTGAGAGCGGAGCATTTTCAGGAGAGCGACAAAGTCTGGGTCGGGGCCACCGACTCTGGAAATAGGAGTGAGACCTATCTCTCCACTGAACGCCTTGTCCCAGCCAAGACCAGACGGGCAGCCCCAGGACAGGGCCAGCGCCTCTGCCCAGGCTCCCACCACGCCCGCACGTGCGCCTGCTGCTGGGGTCTCATTCAACATGGATGCTTTCTTCGCTGTATTTGACCACTGAATCTGGCAGCACAATGCGTTGAAGCCTGAGCTGCTTGCATATTGTAAAACACCAAAGTGGCAGGAAGCTGCTCGCAGGATGTATGCGGGCACCCAGTCTCTGAGCAGACAGAGCGTGGGAAGCTGCCCAGGTCCACGAGCACCCCCACCTACTCATGGGCGCCACCCATAGATGTGTCTTACGAAAGGGACCTGTGTAATTAAAGGTGGCCGTGGGCCAGGGCGGAAGCCTCACTCCCAGGTAATCTGTGGAGTCGTGAGGTTGTTGATTCAGTCAGAGCTCGGCTTTGAGCTCCTTAGATGAGGAAGCAGAGACCTGTTTGCAGATCACAGAGGTGGGTTCTGTGGCCCAAGCACAGGACCAGCACTTACACCCCTACAGTGCCAGGTCTGCAGGCGCCAGGAGCAGGCCCGAAGGAGGTACCCGCTCCTCTGCTGGGTCCCAGGCAGGCTAGGCCTTGCAGGGGGTGGGGGCGGGTGGGTCTCTTGAGAGGCGCTCAGTGGAGAAGCAGCCCTGCTCAGCCCCCACTGCCTGGTTGTGTCCTGCAAGGAGAGACCAGTGTTGGAGGCCAGCCACAGCTGGTCCCCCAGTTCCACCAGGCAGCAGGGGGATGCTTCGGAGAGCTTCTCCCCATCCCACCCTGTCTGGGTTAAGGGAGCCTGGAGTAGAGTGGGTTCTTCTTACTTGCTGCATGAGAAGTGATTTGCAACCATAAGCTTTACTTTCAAAGGTTTTCCAGTGGCTGAATGATGCTTAGATGTGGAGCAGTGACGTTTTGTTTTAATCTCTTTTTACCCACTTTGTTTGGGACCACAGTGACTTGGGCAGTGGCGGGTGGGGGACAGCTCGCCTGCACATGCAGGAGACTGGCTTCCAAAGGTCAGAGAGCAACCTCTTCCCTGCAGAACAACTTCATCAACCTCAGCTTTCTCCGCCTGTTCCGTGCCGCTCGGCTCATCAAGCTGCTTCGTCAGGGCTATACCATCCGCATCCTGCTGTGGACCTTCGTCCAGTCCTTCAAGGTGAAGCCCAGGCAGGGCCTTGGTGCATCCTGAGCCCTCTTTCTTCATGCACATTGGTGTGCCCTCCCCCGCCCGAGAGGCCCTCTTCCGGAAGCTGGGAGGGGGCCACGTGTACACATCTTGTGCACACCTACTGTCCTCTTGTAGTTTGTGAAAATACTGTACATTACCCAGAGAGAATCTTGCTAATGCTCACAAAACTTTGAGGTGTGTTTTACAACTCTGGTTGTAAAGGAAGAACCCGGGGTAGTCGCTTGTTGGAGGGGCTCGATGGTTAGTGGGCTGGATCTACACTGCTGAGGTGTGTGTGGCTCCAGAGACCCAGCAGCCATCCACTCTCCAGATGAGGCCTGAGCAGGGCAGCAGAGTGGCACTCCCTGGAGCTGACCTGTCCTCCGTGTGTCCACAGGCCCTGCCCTACGTGTGCTTGCTCATTGCCATGCTGTTCTTCATCTATGCCATCATCGGCATGCAGGTGGGTGTGCCGCCGGGATGGGCACACAAGGGGCTCCTGACCCCTGAGGCGAAAGGGCATTGATCATGGTCATTAAAGGGTAATGATGACAAGTCGATACTTGGAAAACATTGCTATGAGCTGTTTTAAGCACTTTATGAGCTCAGTCTTAGAAAGACTGTTCTTTGGATGAGAAAACAGGCACTGTGAGGTTAGGTTTTTGCCCGGGGTCCACTAGTGAGGGGCAGCTGCACCCTCTGTGGGTAAATACATCACCAGGCTCAGGTGGAATCTTGCTGGGCTGTGTTGGGGCGATGGTGGGCTTGTTTGACTGGGAACTGGGCCCCCAGGTCGTGGAGAGCTTGGGCACATCGGCATGATGCCAGTGGCCTGCAGAGTAGTAGCTGGTCATCCTGTCAGTCCGGCAGCGATTCTGTAGGCCACTGCTGCTTTATAGGGGCGTATATGCCACTGAAGAAAAGTCGGCAGGATCATCTCGGATCACGCTACTTGTCAAATCCGGCACAATGTAGATATTATTTATTTTGCCGAAGAACACTGTCATCTTTTGGAAAAACATTTAAAAGACACCAAGCAGAGTCCCAGTCATGCACTTTTGGCGCCTGGCCACTCTCCAACAGCACAGGCGAAGGATGGGCTTCGCCAGTGTGCGAGGAGCCAGGGTCCTGAAGGTCAGTGGAAAACTGATTTTCAGACTGTATTCCAGGGACTGAAGGCTCCTTTTGCTTTATGACGCTTTCTAAAACAAAGCAAATGTAGTTTTTTTCCTGCTTTGCTTTGTGAATGTGCAGAAACATAAACATGAACACCACTGATCTTTATTTTGGGTGGACATGGGATACTTTGTAAACTTTCCAGCTGAAATTTTCCAGATTTTAAGCTAAGTGTAGTTAGTAGCTCATTGCATTTCTAATCCTAAAGAAAATCAATTCAAATTGATAAAAACCATCCCATTGTGATATTTGCACAGAAACTTAAAACAAAACCTAAGTGATCTCTCAGAGCTGTTGCTCATGGAGTCATTCATGAGAGCATGAACTGTAACACAGCAGAGCCTCAACTCAGCTCCGGGTCCCATTCTTACGAGTCATGTGGACTTGCATTCCTGGACAGGCACAGGGCGGGAGCCGGCACACGTGGAGTTGTGGGGCCCCGATGCGCTCCCCCTCCTAGAGGCTTGCCCTGTAAACGCACTGCCAGGCGGGGCTGGGAGCCCTGACGGTGGCCCCCATGGACAGGAGTGTTCTAGCTCAGGGCGGTGTCCTGCCCCCTGTGGGTCCTCACATGCACATACACGCCCCTCTGCCTGGCTGCAGGTCCTGAAGACCCAACAGCCTTCTCTTCCATTTCAGGTTTTTGGGAACATTGCTTTGGACGATGATACCAGCATCAACCGGCACAACAACTTCCGGACATTTCTACAAGCCTTGATGCTGCTGTTCAGGTGTGTGGTTTGGGCAGCCAGCTCAGGCCAGCCTCTCCAACCCCTAGGCCATGGTGGCCTCCCCGCAAGGGGCCTTTCTAGTGTTTGCTCCCTTTCTGTTTGTCCTCTGCTAAGGTTCCTGGACCTCAGACAGACTGAGGGGAAGCCCCTGGGCCAGGCCAGCCTCCACCGCCTTGTCTCTGCTCCTCGGCCGCAGCTAAAAGGCCTCCAGGGGGGCTGGGAGCACCGAAGATGCCCAGCAGTGCTTCTCTTGTGCGCAGGCCTCAAGGCTCCAGCTGAAGCCCTGCTGACTGGGGGGATCTGTGGGGTAGCGAGAAGCAGGGGACCAGGGAGGACACAGCTGACAGCATGCATAGCTGCTCATGGACTGAGACACCCAGCTGACTAGGGCCTGCACCTCTGCTGTCCACTCATGGGGGCCGAACTTCTCTGGGCTCTGGCGTGCAGCCAAGCCATGCAGCACGGTGAAGCCCCAAGGGGCACAGGGCTTGTTTGATGCTCAGAGACCACCTGCGAGGCTCAGCACCTCCTCCTGTTCTTAGGAGTGGCACACCCTCCGTGGGCGGGAGGCTGTTTAACACCCGGGTCAGGAATGAGCTTGGGGGCAGAGGGGAGAGAGGTGAATGTGTCCCCCTGCCCCCAGAGCCTCTCTCGCCAGCCAAGCCTACCATATGATCCCAGTAGGGAAGAGAAAAGCTGTCTCCGGGGATTTATGGTGGAGGGGCTCTGACTACAGACCCTGTTTTGGGGCCCCTCCCTGGCATGTCACCACCTGTATGCAAATGTGTTGGGCCACTGCGAGGCCTGCGCTGGGGGCTGCCCTATGCACATGCATTCTGAGGGGTGATGGGTGAGCTCAGACCCAGGCCTGCTTTACTCCCCTGCCTGAGGAGACTTTTCTGACTCCTGTTCTTTGTATCAGCTGAACAAGCGACATTAGGCTTACACTTTTCCTAAAGAGCAGAGTTTCTCTGAGCTTTAGCTGTTACATTAATTCTATTTCTTTCTTTATTAATATCCTGCCTTGTGCTTGAGAAGATTTGAGACAGGCCCATGCAATCAGCCTTAGTTGTAAGCCTTTGGTCTCAAAGATCTCTCTTCTCCCTGGTCTTTGTCTCACATGTGAGCCCCTCATCAATCAGGCTGGCACAGGTTGGTATGGCCATCCTACAGGAAGCCCCATGCCTAGCTGTCATCAGTGGAGAGCGGGCCTGGCCTCTGCCCAGGGCTGCCCACGCAGGCAGCAAAGGGGGGACCCAGGCCTTTGGCCTGCCCGTGAGCACCCGTGTGGCCCCTGGTGCTGGCTGTGTGCCCAGGAACAGATCCCATGCAGGAGGGCCCTCCAGGGTGGCTGCTCGGGCTGGAAGAGCTCCTGGTGTGTCTGTGGAGCAGGAGAGGCCGGCATGGCTGCAGTGGGCTGAGCTGGGAGCACAGGAGGGAGCCAGGTCAGGGAAGGAGCGGGCAGTGGGTTGCTGGATCATGTGAATTGTGGCCTCTGCAGTGATGAAGGGTCACTGGGAGGAGGAGTGACACTGTCTGGCATGGGGTCAGTCGACCTGCTGGGCCGCCGTGTAGGTAGACGGAGAAGAGCGGTGGGAGGCTGTGGCAGCAGCTCAGGGAAGTGGTCGCCATTCAGTGCCAGGCAGTGAGACACCGTGAGAGCCTGGCTGGTTTTTGGAGGTGGATGAGCTGATACACAGCATGTCGCAGGGGGAGAGAGAGCCGGAGAAATGGATGGCTCGGGGGTATTTTTCCAGCAGCTGGAAAGATGGAGTCACCATTTCTTGAATGGAGGGAGGCTGGGACGGCATGTGTGGGGGGGAGATCAGAAGCCCAGATGGGGTGCGCTGGCCTCCAGGTGCCAGATGCCCGCAGCGGGGTCACTTACCACAGTGCCGACTCTTCTCGCGCAGAGGACTGGATCTAGTAACAAGTGCTTTCCCAGTTCATGACCATTGGAGAATCTAACGCAGAGGGTCCTTTTCAAGAAGCAGCCATCTGTTACCCGTGCCTTGCACATGTGCTGTTTCCTGTCCGGAAGGAAGCGGGAGGAGGGGGTGGGGTGCCCTTGGACCAGCTCCCCTGAGTGCTCGGGCGCCCCCGATCCCCTCCCAGGCTGGTCCCTGGCCGGCCCCCGTGAGCCTCACAGCTCTGCCCTTCTTCTCAGGAGTGCCACGGGGGAGGCCTGGCATGAGATCATGCTGTCTTGTCTCGGTCACCGGGCCTGCGACGAGCCTGCCGGTGCCAGCGAGTGTGGGAGCGACTTCGCCTACTTCTACTTCGTCTCCTTCATCTTCCTGTGCTCCTTCCTGGTAAGGCCGTGTCTCTGCGCCCCCCTTCCTGCCTCACTCCCTCTTGGGACCCCCTGTGTCTCCTGCTGATCTCTGACTTTGATTCATGTCACATCGCAAGTTGATTCCATGTTGGTGGCCCTTGCTTCCCCAGAGACGATGACCTCATTAATCCTAAAAGGGCTCATGCGGTGATGAGCTCCTGTGGGGCCAGCTCTCACTTCATGGAAAGGATTTAAAGTCTCCATGGGGCAGTTGTCTCTTAGTTTTCAGTATCTACCATTGTGATGGGACGAATAAACAAAATGTGATATGAACATATTACTCAGCATTAAAAAGAAAGGCATTCTGACACATACTACAGCATGAGTGAACTTTGAAGACATTGTGCTAAGTGAATTAAACCAGTCACAAAAGGAAAAATACCATATTATTCCACTTATGTGAGGTACCGAGAGTAGTCAGATTCATAGAGACAGAATCCAGAATGGGGGTCGCGAGGGTTGGGAGGAGAACGGGGAGCTGACGTTTGAAGGGTATGGACTTTCAGTTTGGGAAGATGTGAAAAAGCTCTGTAGATGGATAGTGGTGGTTGCACGATGGTGTGAATGTACTTAATGCCACTGACCTATACTCTTATAAATGGTTAAATAAGTTTTTTGTTCTGTATATTTTACCATAATAAAAATGTTATTTAAAAAAAAATTAGCACCAATCCTATTCAAACTTTTTCCAAAAGAAAAATGGGGAGAGAACACTACCTGACACAGTCTACGTTGCCATCATTACCCTGAAACCAAAGGCAGACCAAAGTGCCACAAGAAGGCTATACACAGGTATCCCTCATGAATATGCACGTGAAGGCCCTGAACAACATACTACCAAACAAACTCCGGCAATGCATTAAAAGGGTTGTACACCAAAACCAAATGGGACTTAGTCCAGGAATGCGAGGGTGGTGCATCATGTGAAAATCAGTCAGTGTGATGAGGAAAAAGACAAATGATCATCTCAATAGCTGTAGAAAAGCATCTGACAATACTCAACACTTTCATGATAAAAACACATAGCAAAAAAAGGGCTTCTGTCATGAGTGCCACACACCAGGCGGTTCATTTGCTCTTTATGTGGAATCAACATCAAGAGATTTTGGAAGCACAATTTTTTGACACTCAGGCAGCTGGTGATTGTTGGTCCTGGCGCCGCCCCCGACCCCAAAAAAGAAAACACATAGCGAGTGGAATAGAAGGTAACTTTCTTGGCCAGATAAAGGGCTTATATGAAAAATCTACAGCTAATGTCATACTCAACAGTAAAAAGCTACAAGCTTTCTCCCAAACATCAGAAACAAGACAAGGATGCTCACTTTCATCACTTGTAGTCAACATTGCTGTGGAAGTCCTGGCCAGAACAATCAGGCAGGAAGAAATAAAAGGCATCCAAATTGGAAAGGAAGAAGTAAAACTGTATCTATTTGCAGATGATGTTATCCTGTATATAGAAAACTCCAGAGAATACATACATGTACACACAAAAAACCCCCTCAGAGCTAATAAATGAATTCAGCAAAGTTTCAGGGTACAAAATCAACACATAAAAATCAGTCATGATTCTGTGCACCAGCAATAAACAATCTGAAATAGAAATTAAGAAAATAATTCCATTTCTAATAGCATCCAAAAGAATAAAATAACTAAGAATAAATAAATAAATACCCATGGAGGTGAAAGTCTTGCACACTGAAAAATTTTGCTGGAAAAAATGAAAGAAGACACAAGTAAATGGAAAGACATCCATATACGTGAATCAGGAGACTTAATATTGTTAAGATGGCAACATTCCCCTAAAGTGATCTGTAGATCAAATGCACTCCCTATCAGAATTCCAATGGCCTTTTTTGAAAGAATGGAAAAGCTGATCCACAGATTCATATGGAAGGTCAGGGAACCCCAAATAACCAGCACAATCTTGAAACAGTAAAGTTAGAGGACTTACATTTCCCTATTTCAGAGCTTACTATAAAGCTACGGTAATCAAAATAATGTGGCTGAATAGATATTTTTCCAAAGAAGACATACAGATGAACAACAGGTAAATGAAAAGTTTCTCAATTTCACTAATCAGGGAAATGCAAATCAAAACTACAGTAAGCTATCACGTTCTCTCACCTTCAGAATGGCTACCATCAGAAAGACAAGATACAACAAGTGTTGAGATGAAGGTGTGGAGAAAAGGGACCCTTTGTCGCTGCAGGTGGGAATGTGAATTGGTGCAGCCACTATGGAAAAGAGCATGGAGCCTCCTCAAAGAATTAAAAATAGAAACGCCATAAGATCCAGCAATCCCACTTCTGGACATATATGCAAAGGAAATGAAATCAGGATATTGAAAAAATATCTGCACTCCCATGTTCACTGCAGCATTATTCATAATAGCCAAGATATGGAAACCATCTAAATGTCCATCAACAAATGGTTGGATAAAGAACATGTGGTCTATACATACAATGGCATATTATTCAGTCATAAAAGGAGGAAATACTGCCATTTGCAGCATAGATAGACCTTGATCTGCAGATTAATTGACAGCTAGTTCAAATTGCTAATTGAAATGAGCCAGACAAAGACAAATACTGCGTGGTATCACTTAGATGTGAAATCTAAGAAAAGAAAAAGTCAAACTCATAGAAACAGAGTAGAAAAGTTGTTGCCAGGGGCTGGGAGGTGGGAGAAATAGGAAGATATTGGTAAAACGGTATAAACTTACAGCTGTAATATGAATAAAGTCTGAGGATCTAATGCAAAACATGGCGACTATAGTTGGTAACAATACATTGAGATTTGCTAAAAGAGTAGAACTTAAACATTCTACCAAAAAAAGAGAGAAGTATGTGAGGTGATAAATGTAGATGGGGGGAATCCCATCAAAAGGTATACAAATATCAAATGATCACATTGTACACTTTATCTACAATTTTCTTCATTAATTATACCTCAGTATAGCTGGAGGTGGGGGAACAATACCGGCATGAAGATAGATACACACACCAACAGAGTGGAGTTGAGAGTCCAGAAGTGAACCCAGACATCTATGCCCAATTGATTTCTGACAAGGATGCCAAGACTATTCAATAGGGAAAAAATAGTTACTTCAACAAATGCTAAAGCGACAACTAGATGTCCACATGCAGAAAAATTAAGTAAGTTGAACCTCCACCTCACTGTATATACAAACATTAATTCAAAATTGATCAAAGACCTAAATGTAGGAACTAAAATTGTAAAACTCTTAGAAGAAAATGTAGGGGGCAAACCTTCATGACCTCAGCTTTGGCAAATAATTCTTAGATTTGACACCAAAATCAAAAGCAATAAAAGAAAAAATAGACAAATTAGACTACCCAAAATTAAAAACTTCTGAACATCGAAGGACATTGTCAAATATGCAAAAGTACAGTCTAAGGAATGGGAGAAAATATTTACAAATCACATATTTTATAAAGAGTTAATATCCAAAATTTGTAAAGAATTTTACAACTCAAGAAAAAGACAAACAACCATATAAAAAAATGGGTAAAGATATTCTTCTGAAGATATGCAAATAGCCGAGAAGCACATGAAGATCTTCAGCATAGTTGGTCATCAAGGAAACGTAAATCAGAACAATAACCAGATACCATTCAATGTTCAGTAGAATGACTATAATAATAAACTTTTCAATGGAAAATAATGAGTGTTGGCAAGGACATGGAGAAATACTAACACTTGTACATCCTTGGTGGGAATATAAAATGCAGCAACTTATGTGGAAACAGTTTAGAGGTTCCTCAAAAAATCAAGCATAAAATTACCACATCACCCAGCAATTCCACTCCTCGGTATATAGATGTGTCAGTCCATAAATTTGTACATGAATGTTTATAGTGTCATTAACCATAATAGACTAAAGGAAAGGTGAAAGCAACCAAACATCCATCAATGGATGAATGGATAACAAATCGTGGCGCAGACCTACAATGGAATATTATTCAGCCAGAAAATGGATGAAACTCTGACACACAATACACCATGGATGGACCCCCAAAAACATCACACTAAGTGAAAGAAACCAGACACAGAAAGTCATATATTGTATTATTCCATTTATATGAGATATCCAAAATTGACAAACCTGTAGATACAGAAAGGAGATTGGTGACTGCCGGGGAGGAGAGGAGGGAAGACCAGGGGAGCAATTACTTGATGGTGCAAGGTTTTCTTGTGGGGTTATAAAAAAATCTTGGAAACTAGAGGGGTGGTAGACACATGACATTGTGACTACATGAAATACCACTGAATGGTGCGCTTCAAAATGGCCACTGGTATGTGAATTGCAACTCAATTTGTAGAATCGAGCCTCTAGACTCCAAACTACTAACTCCAAAGTCACTGGTTTCCTTGAAAGCCAGCTGAGAGCGGAAAAGGATGGGGACTGCAGAGGGGGTAGGTCGACCTTGACGCAGGATGGCCATGGACATGAGAGGACGGAGCCTGGGTCAGGGTGGGGCAGCAGGAGTAGAGAGCAGAAGCCCTCAGGGGACCGATGCCGGGCTAGGACCCTGGTGGCCGAGGCCGTGGGGAGAGCCGGTCTGGGCAAGACTCCGCCTGACCCCTGTTGCCCCGAGGGTCTCACCCGGAGTGGTGGGGGGTCGGCGGGGGCAGGGGGCTGGGGGAGAGGCGGCCCGAGGTCTGTATGTCACCTCTTCTCCTTCCTGTCCTACAGATGTTGAACCTCTTACAAAAACATCACACTAAGTGAAAGAAACCAGACACAGAAAGTCATATATTGTATTATTCCATTTATATGAGATATCCAAAATTGACAAACCTGTAGATACAGAAAGGAGATTGGTGACTGCCGGGGAGGAGAGGAGGGAAGACCAGGGGAGCAATTACTTGATGGTGCAAGGTTTTCTTGTGGGGTTATAAAAAAATCTTGGAAACTAGAGGGGTGGTAGACACATGACATTGTGACTACATGAAATACCACTGAATGGTGCGCTTCAAAATGGCCACTGGTATGTGAATTGCAACTCAATTTGTAGAATCGAGCCTCTAGACTCCAAACTACTAACTCCAAAGTCACTGGTTTCCTTGAAAGCCAGCTGAGAGCGGAAAAGGATGGGGACTGCAGAGGGGGTAGGTCGACCTTGACGCAGGATGGCCATGGACATGAGAGGACGGAGCCTGGGTCAGGGTGGGGCAGCAGGAGTAGAGAGCAGAAGCCCTCAGGGGACCGATGCCGGGCTAGGACCCTGGTGGCCGAGGCCGTGGGGAGAGCCGGTCTGGGCAAGACTCCGCCTGACCCCTGTTGCCCCGAGGGTCTCACCCGGAGTGGTGGGGGGTCGGCGGGGGCAGGGGGCTGGGGGAGAGGCGGCCCGAGGTCTGTATGTCACCTCTTCTCCTTCCTGTCCTACAGATGTTGAACCTCTTTGTGGCTGTGATCATGGACAATTTTGAGTACCTTACACGGGACTCTTCCATCTTAGGGCCTCACCACCTCGACGAGTTCATCCGGGTCTGGGCCGAGTACGACCCGGCTGCGTGGTGAGTGAGCGCCCGTGCTCCGTGGTCCTCTGGGGCCGTCCAGACCCACGGATGGGACAGGGCTGAGGCGGCTTTGGACGTGTTTCAAGTGAATGCCCTCCTCGGGTTTCGGTCGGTCCCAGGCTTCCGTCCTGCTCCACATGGCCCGGTGCCGGGTCCCCTCCCGGGAGGCACTCTCCTCACTCTCTGTCTGCTTCTGTATAGCTGTGTGGGTGGAGACACCCTGTTTTGAGACCCTCAGGGTTTCCGTGGGGCCTGGGAACCCCAGGGTTCTTGCTGAATGGGAGTTTACTGTTTCCTTACAAGGCCTGCTGCATGGGGGTCATGGGGGGTCTGGAGGAGGAAGGTGCGGGCACAGCAGAAGGCCATTCTCTCAGGGCCTCACCGTCCTCACAATGCCCGGAGGCCTTCATGGGCATAAATGACGTAGGGCTGTGGGACAGTCTCCCTGGTGGGCTCCCGGCTCTTCCGGTCTGCCATCTCCTTCACGGACGGGAGCCACTGTGCACCTCTGTGTCCCCAGTCCAGGCTGCAAGTAGTGGGCACTCGGTGAACATGGATCACAGTCAAATGAGCTATCAGGGAGGGTCTAGTGTGTTTAAGGCCACTCGGTCATGGTGGGAAGGGGGTATCGCGTTGCAGAAGTGAGAGTGATTGCTTCCAGACGGAGCAAGGTCTCAGGAAGGGAGTGACTTGGGGTCAGGGGTTGGAGAGCATGTCCCCGCGGTTCCTGCACACCATGGCATGCCTCTGTCCCTGGGCTAGCAAAGCAGACGAGTTCCCCATCTGCCCATTTGTCTGTTCCTTCCTCACTCGCTCATTCACTTGGTCATTCATTCATTTATTCATTCACTCTCTTGAGGGGTTACTTAGTAGTTACTGAGGGCATGCCCTCCACAGGCAAAATGCAGGACGCGGAGTGGCCAAGAAACCTGGCTCCTGGGTAAGACCCAGGCCTGCCCGGCGCCTGAGAGCTTGCAGACATGCACGTGAAGGAACTGTGCAGTGGTGCATGGGTGGGCCATCCCTTCCTGTGCTCCAGGGGGACGAGAAGACTGTGGATCCGGGGTTCAGCCACTTCCCACCTCTTCTCTTTGGGGCCCCCAGGCGGCCATCTCCTCCTTGCACAGCTCTGCGTCTGGGCACCCTTGTGTGGTAGCGGCCTGTGTCCTTGTGGTGAGCATCCTGCTGCCAACAGAGTGCCTGACCTCTGCCTGTTTTTCTCTAACTGAAGCTCAGCGTGGAGAATGCTCCAGAACTTTCTGACCCCTGAGACTGAGGCCTGGGAGCTTGGCTATGTTCCCTCATCCCTCATGCAGCCTCCCAGGAGCCTCAACCCCATCACAGTGAGGATCCAGAAGGTGCCGTGTGAGGCCCTTCCCGGTCTGGACAAACCCTGCAGGCCCACAGCACCTCTGGGTGTTTTCCATTATTTTGAAAAACGTAATATTTTCACAAGGTGCAGAACAAGTACAGCCGTTATCCATGTGTCACAGTGTATGAGACCGTTTTTATGGCCTTGGAGAGGCCTGTCATTTTCCAGCTGCATCAGCACATTGCCCTTGCAGTCATACACTCAGGGATTTTCATGTGGCCAGGAAGGCCCAGTCAGATGGGAGGGCGGGTGGAACACCCCCAAGGCCTATATCAGGCAGAGGGCAGGGGAGACTTGAGTTGAGGTAGGATTGAGGCTCATTCCAGGACGGTCATCCTGACTGTGGTCTAAAGAGATGCTGCTACCTCTGGACACATTTTGTTCTAGAGGAGACTGTGTTGCAGAAAAACAGAGATACTGTATAGGGTGTGACTCGGACTCAAGGGCAAGGGCAGGTCAGTGCAGGCCTGCAGTGGGAAATGACGTTCCTACACCTTATGAACTGTAGACCCAGGACTTCCGCAGTCAGCCACAGGTGGAGCAGAGTCGGGATTTACAGTAAGTGTGATCCAAGCTGCAAGTAGTGGGCACTCGCAGTAAGAGGCGGGCCTGGCCGCGGCTTCGCGATCATGCGCAGAGAGCACTCAGAATGTTTCTAAAATCCAGGAGTCTAAAACTGGGCTCCCTGGAAGGCAGAGGCAGTCAGGGATGTGATGATGAAAGTGCTTGTGGGAGAGCAGGTGACGAAGTATGAGCCTTACCACAGAGGTGGCACGTGCCGATAGTGCACAATACCTGTGGCTCAGAAGCAGCACAGCTGTGGCTCACAACTGACATTCACGCTGGCTGTTCCCACATGTACTGGGACTGGAAACATAGCTTGCCTCCAGACAGGTGGGGCAGGGTGGACCCAGCAGAGACAGGTGAGCAGAGTGGGTTTAGACCCCATATCCTGGACGGGACTGAGGGTGCTTTGAACCTTGTAGTGACCTCCATGACAGATGCGAGGATGTGATCATCTTTACTTCCCCGGTGACCATTCTGCTGTCTCCTTATTCTTGGGGCGACTTTGAAACAGCAGAACTTTATGAAATTTCCCAAGGTCTCACGTGTGTGTGTGTGTTTGTACTATGTGAACGTGTGCCCAAGTGTATACATGTGAGCATGTGTGTTTGCATGTTTTCAGGCAGGTACGCACACCTGCATGTGTACACATTTTGTGTGTGCATACATGAGCATCCATGTGTGGTGGTGAGCTTGCACAAGTGTATTGCCTATTTGCATGTGTGCACCTATGTGTGGGTGCATGCAAGTGTACATGAGTGTGTGTGTGCACATGTGTGTGTGTGCACATGCGTGCTGGGGGGAGATTAAGGAGGCATGGAGCTGCTGCTTCCTGGTGCTCCCTTCCCTCATTGTCCCTTTCGTTGCCTCGGCACCTTATGGGGAAGTGCAGAGATTGGAAAGGAGAGTCACAATCACACCTACTGTGAGGAATCTGTTCATCTCTGTGTTCACTCATCTGTACAGTAAACATTCCTGAGCATCTGCTGTGTGCTGGGGACTGGGTGTCCATACGGGAGGCAGGCGCGAGCTCTCAGCCCAGCAGGGCCGTGGGAGAGCAGAGGAGCCACGGTGTGAGGCCAGGGTGTGTCCGAGGAGGAGAGGCCATGTCTGGCTGGGGGCATCTGAGCCCTGCTTGAAGAGGGCAGGATGGACTGCGCTGCAGAGCAGGGGTGGGGCAGAGGGGAGAGGGGAGGGAGGCTGAGCGTGTCTCGTGGAGAGAATGCATTGCAAGGGGGCTGGAGGGACACCTGGGAGAGGCTGAGAAAGGCCTTGGAACTTGGGTTACACAGGTAGCATTTACTGTTTCATGGACTGTGGGGATGGTTTTTGAATTGCAGTGACATTTTCAGGCCCACAGTTTTCATCTGGTAGCATCTGAGGGGTTTGATGGCAGAAGAGAGAAGATGAGCCGAGGGACAGGCTCTGAGCCAGGGCAGGACGACTGTGGGCACCCACTGTGCTTCCAGCTCCTGTGTGGTGGCCCCTTGTGTTCAGGGAAGTTAGTAAGTACTCAGGTGAGGCCAAAGAGAGGGATTCCTCTTTCTTCTTCTCCAGAAGTAAATGCAGCACCATTTGAACCACTGGGCAGAGTGGCTGCAGTGCAGAGGAGAGAGGCATCGGTTGGCCGGGCACTCACCCTGGGACGAGGTGGGTCCTTCACTGGACCAGCCATTTCCATGGTGTTTTCAGGGGGTGGGGACAGTCAGGAGAGACAGGTGTGGAGAGAAGGCTTGGCCAAAGAGGCTCCTGGGGCTCAGGCACTTGGGGAGTGAGGGGAGGGCTACCGCACGGTCAGTGAGGAGGGCCAGGGTTGATGAGGACCAGTGGTTGCAGGGTGTGTGAGTGGGGACTTGGGACAAGAGTGCACTTGTTCGTATGGAGTGTCTCCTGCCTGCTCTGTAAATTGCCTGGGGACCGTCACACCTCCTAGGGTGCTCCAAGCCCTGGGGCCCGGGTGGGGAGCTGCCTGTCAAGCCGCCGCCGGCTCCATCACCATGACCGTACAAGGCCACATCTTCTTGTCGCAGGCTGGGTGGGCGGGCGGGATGGGCTCATCGTGCCTTGGTTGCCATAACCTGTGACATTTCCTTTCCAGTTGCCGGATTCATTATAAGGATATGTACAGTTTGTTGCGTTGTATTGCGCCACCCGTTGGCTTAGGGAAGAGCTGCCCTCGTAGGTTGGCCTACAAGGTTTGCAACTTCAGAGCCTCCATCTGACATACTCTTCCCTGCCCGAAATGCAAACACAGCACACACTCCCCGCCTGGTTTGGGAATGATGACCGCACCCCTCTCCTCCCACCCTGTCCTGCCCCGCACTCTGACCTCCTGGACGCTTCGGTTCCCCATCTGAGCTCCCCGACCCTCCAGCTGGCTGGGGCCAGGCAGCCTCGTGAGCAGTGCGCACAAAGCTTTCTGGCTGGGCTTGAGCACGAGGGCTAGCCGCCGGGCGGGGGCCAGGGCCGGGGCCGGGTGCTGCCTGTGCCAAGGAAGCAGCCTCTCACTCAGCTGTGCCTCCTGGCCTCGAGGGTGGGCTGATGGTCAGACAGGCTCAAGGCCAAGGCTCAGAGGAGGGGAATGTGGGCACAAGCAGACCGGGAACAGCTGGCCTTCTGGGTTGGAAAAGCCTGACAACTCAGGGGCTTCTTGTCTCTGGGGGAGTAAAGGGCAGAGGCAGTGGGGGCCCAAGGACAGGCCCCCTGCTGCACCTCTGGATCGATCTACTCACCGAGGCTGGGAACCCTGGCAGGGGGGCCAGGCATCGGGGTGGACGCGCATGCCAGGAAGAGGCTGTCCCTGTTTTCTCTCAGGTGGCCTGAACCGGACTATGTCTCTGGGACCCCAAGCAGGTCCCGTGGGCAGGTGTCCCAGGGGTCAAGGTGAGGCTTCAGGCCAGGTGGCCTGTCTTCCTCAGGAAGTCATGGTCATCGGCTCCCAGACAGCTCCCTGAATCTGGAGCCGTACCCCACGCTGGTCCCAGCCCTCCCGTGACAGGGCACCACGTCACGTCCCACCCCAGCTGCCCCGCCGCCGCCCCTGCAGTCTCCATTTCCTGCCCAGCCCGACTCCCAGCAGCAGCCCTGCCCTGGGCCGGCCTCGGGCGTCTCTGGGCTTGGAGCAGGGCTTGCCCTGGCCAAGTTCGTCTCTAGAGCCTCAGTGCTCCCCGAGGGACAGCGTGGCTCCCGCTCTTGTTTCCTGGCTTGTTTTAGATGTTTCTCCACTTCTTTAGCCTCTAGGCTAACTTGGAATAAATTGAGCCCTAAGGAAAGCTAATGGGTCTGCCACGGCTCTTAGGCCAGCCTCCTTGGGCACGCACCTGTGTCTACCAGCTCTCCCGGCATGGTGAAACAGCTCTTTTCTGATTTGGCATTATCTGTGGTTTCTAAAAGTGGAAAATCAGACGTTTATAACCCAAAGCCGCCCCGATGCAGCCCTTCCTCATCCCTCCATGTTCATTAGCTCAGTTGTCACCCCTGCCCGCTGCCCTGTGTGGGGCTGGAGTGTGGAGGTGAGGCTGGTGGGGGAGGGGGTGGCCAGGAGGGGATCGAGTCAAGTAGAGAAATCCCTCATTTTACTCATTTTGACTTTCGGCGTTGAATCTGCCGCTGGTTAACTGGATGTGTCTTCTTGTCTGCTTCCTCCTCCTGCCCTCCTGCCGCACCCCTGCTGCGGACCCGCTCCTCCTCTGCCTCTCTGGGCCGGGTCTCCAGTGGGCGCATCGGTTACAGTGACATGTTTGAGATGCTGAAGCACATGTCCCCACCCTTGGGGCTGGGGAAGAAATGCCCTGCTCGTGTCGCCTACAAGGTAGACCCTGGCGCTGCTCCCCCGGAAGCTGTCTGTGCTCGCGCGGGCTGCCCCTCTCTTGGGCTTGTCTGTCTGCCGCGCTGCTGTCTCGCTGCTTCTCCCTTTCCTCTGCCCTGACCATCTCCGCTCCTTTCCTAGACAGAGGGACATGGACACTGCGATGCGGTCTGTGCACTAGCCCCTTGCCCCCCAGGGGTGACCCCTCTGAGAGTACCCAGGAGGCTCAGGAGGTCGGAGCCAGAGCCCCCACCTGTCTTTTCCCCTCCTCTTCTCTATCCTAGAAGTGAGGGGACAGACCCGTTTTTTTTCACTGAGGCTCTTTTTGTTCTGGGTTCAGAGCCTCACTGGGCTCCTCTGTCCCCTAAGTGCCCGACGTGGCTGTAGTCGCCCGGCCCTCAGGGTCTGACTCTGGGGGAGCAGGGCCTGGAGGGCCTCTGGTGCAGTGGAGACCCACCTCCAGGGCTCCACAGGTTCCGCAGTGGGAAGGAGGCACTGTGGCATTAAGAGGGTGGGATGCCAGGGAAAGGCACCCTGCTGCCATTCCTGGAGTGTCAGAGGACCATCACAGGGTGAGGACAGCCTGAGGAGCCCAGGTGGTCTCGTGGCTCCTCCCCCCACTGCTGAGGGGCATAGGGGCCTGAGCTGCAAGGAGGGGGTACCCCGAGGGACTCTGTGGGCCTCTCTCCCAGGTGGGTTAACAGGTCACATGACCCAGCCCCAAGCCTGCTCCCACCTGCCCATGCATCATCCTCAGTCGCTCCTCCTGGTATGGAAGCACCTTCCACCCCTCCAGCACCCCACCTGCCTGAGAGTCCCACCCCCCTTACCCCCCAGGGCTCCCCAGCAGACAGAGCCAAACCGGGACCTGGGCTCAGCCAGCATGGGTCTGGAGCCTTCCTGCCGTCTCCCTCTCTCTGCTTCTGTCCACACTGTCTGTCTCTATGCTCTGAACCTGGACCTGCCCCTGCCACCTGGCTCAGCACAGCCTTTTGGTTGCTGAGCAGCTCCTCTGAGCAACACAAGATGCCTCTGATGTCTTCCTCCGCCCTCCCCTGCCTGCCATGTGTGTTCTGCCTGCCCAGCACCCTGCATGCAAGGCTTTAGCTGTGTCCCCAAGAAGGAGAGCTCTGTCCACCCTGATACCCGGGGCAGGGTGGTCAGCAGGACCATGATGGGTGGCTTCTGGATCTCTTCCAAGCTGCATTGGCCAACTCCAAGGTTCCAGCTGTGAAGGGCCTCAGGGTGTGGCAAGCTGGGGAGGGTGCTGTGGCCAGGAGGGTCTAGGCCTGGGGTGCAGGCCTTGTCTAGGGGCCCCTCACCTCGCCTCTCTGCCACTCCCTGAGACCCCTGGCCAAGCAGGTGGGAGCCTCTGTGGAAGGTGCCCTGGTTGGCGCTCTCCTCCCTTGGAGATGACCTGCTTGCTCCTCCCCCGTGCCAGTTCCTGACCCCTGACTCCTCTGGAGAGGAGTTCCTTTCTCACCGACACTAATGCTGTCTGCAGGGACATTGTACTCTGGGAAGCCATTTTTCCTGGTATGCATTACACAGGTGACACATGAGTTCCTGGGGCCCTGATTGGATATCCCACATGGGGCTTTGTCAGCATTTGGAGCCAGTCTGGGGTCATGTCTCATGCCCTCCATCAGGCTGAGGATTGGATCTGGAGGCAGGATGCTGGGGGCAGGACTGGGGGCAGAGGACAGGGTTGGCAGAAGACTGGCGGACCCCAGGGAGGGGCTCTGTGCCCCTTCCCCAGTCACTGTCCTGTGGCAGGTGACAAGAGGCTTCTGGGAGAGGACAGGTGGGTCACAGTGCCCCTAGGGCTCCACTTGGGTAGCTAGGTGACCTCCCACGCTCAGGATGTCCCAGACACATCTAAGACCCTTTTCCTCCTGGAGATCGCGTAAGCTCAGAGCCTCAAGCTCTGGGCGGCTGCTGGCTGTGCCCACAGGACTGCAGTGCAGGTTGTTCTGGCCTTAAACAATGAGAGGAAAGAGGGGCGCTCACCTGATGGGCAAACAGGGAGCACAGCTGCCAGGCACTGCCCCTGGTCTGTTCCGGAGCACTTGCATTCCTGTGGGACGGCACGCTGCCGGCTGATCCGGAGGCCCTGTGCAGTGCATCTTCTCCAGGTCCCTCCCACCAGAGGAAGCTGGTCTCTATGGCTCCTCCTGCTGCCTTGGGTGAGTGGCACTGAGCGTCTGCCCCAGGCCTCCTGGCTGGGTGGTGAGAGGCAGAAGCCATGGGTTGATGGGTACCACTCACTGGGAGCTGAACCTCAGCGCCGTGCTCTTCACTGCCCTGCCCCGTCCAGTGCTCCAGGCTGGTGGGGGACATGGTGCTGGGCAGAGCTGTAAAGACAGGGGTCTTCTCTTGTGTCTGTGGGCTGTCCTATGGCCCCTCAGCCTTCCTCATCAGTCAAGGCTAGACACCCTTGTTCCAGCCATGTTCAGTGGGCAGGTAACCCTCTGGCTAAAGACCTGCATATTCTTTCAGAATCCAGGTTTCTGGCATGGCCTCATGCTACAGTCTTTAACTGGACTTGTACTTTTTCTGCAGCCAGGAGAATCCTCAGCTCAGATGAGGGTGGGGATCCAGGGGTGAATGCGAATGCTGGCAAAACTCCCATCCATCCAACCTCGCTTGGGCAAGGGCAGGGACCAGCCTCCAGAGCCCTCAAGGACCATGTAGTCCTGTGGTGGGGAGACCCAGGGAGGCCTGGCCCTGACCTGACCCCTTGTTCCCAGCGCCTGGTTCGAATGAACATGCCCATCTCCAATGAAGACATGACTGTCCACTTCACGTCCACGCTGATGGCCCTCATCCGGACTGCACTGGAGATCAAATTGGCTCCAGGTGAGCAGGCAGTCTCAAGGGAGGGCACCAGGCCAGGGCCGTCAGACCATCCTCGAGGGACACCCGCAGGCAGGTGTTCAGGGAGCGGGTGAGGGGGCCGGTCTGGAGGGGACTGAGGATGGCTGCCCGGGGCACCTCTGTTGGGCGCTGAACTTGTCCTCTGATAACCATCGTTCATGTTAGCACTATGATGATCTCGTTTTTATGGAAGGAAATTGAGGTGCAGTGAAACCAAGTGACTTGTCCAGAGAGAAGCTGGTCTCTATGGCTCCTCCTGCTGCCTTGGGTGAGTGGCACTGAGCGTCTGCCCCAGGCCTCCTGGCTGGGTGGTGAGAGGCAGAAGCCATGGGTTGATGGGTACCACTCACTGGGAGCTGAACCTCAGCGCCGTGCTCTTCACTGCCCTGCCCCGTCCAGTGCTCCAGGCTGGTGGGGGACATGGTGCTGGGCAGAGCTGTAAAGACAGGGGTCTTCTCTTGTGTCTGTGGGCTGTCCTATGGCCCCTCAGCCTTCCTCATCAGTCAAGGCTAGACACCCTTGTTCCAGCCATGTTCAGTGGGCAGGTAACCCTCTGGCTAAAGACCTGCATATTCTTTCAGAATCCAGGTTTCTGGCATGGCCTCATGCTACAGTCTTTAACTGGACTTGTACTTTTTCTGCAGCCAGGAGAATCCTCAGCTCAGATGAGGGTGGGGATCCAGGGGTGAATGCGAATGCTGGCAAAACTCCCATCCATCCAACCTCGCTTGGGCAAGGGCAGGGACCAGCCTCCAGAGCCCTCAAGGACCATGTAGTCCTGTGGTGGGGAGACCCAGGGAGGCCTGGCCCTGACCTGACCCCTTGTTCCCAGCGCCTGGTTCGAATGAACATGCCCATCTCCAATGAAGACATGACTGTCCACTTCACGTCCACGCTGATGGCCCTCATCCGGACTGCACTGGAGATCAAATTGGCTCCAGGTGAGCAGGCAGTCTCAAGGGAGGGCACCAGGCCAGGGCCGTCAGACCATCCTCGAGGGACACCCGCAGGCAGGTGTTCAGGGAGCGGGTGAGGGGGCCGGTCTGGAGGGGACTGAGGATGGCTGCCCGGGGCACCTCTGTTGGGCGCTGAACTTGTCCTCTGATAACCATCGTTCATGTTAGCACTATGATGATCTCGTTTTTATGGAAGGAAATTGAGGTGCAGTGAAACCAAGTGACTTGTCCAGAGCTAGCGAGTGTTGGAGCCAGAACACAGCCTGGCCCATGTTCACATGAGCAAGCCCCCCTTCCAGGGTGAAGAGGCTGTGTGCAGCTTCCCCACCCCTCAGAGAGCCCAGTCCCCCTCCCGAGCTCACTGAGAGGACTGTGCCGTCCGTGCCAACAAAGGAGAGCGGGCCTCCAGCACGTCCCCGGCCTTCACTCTCATGCCATCACTGCTTCCCCTGCACAGAGGAAGTCAGAGCCTCCGGAGGGGCCCTGCACCACTCCCCCTGCATTGTCTTCCTCCCTGCCCTTGAGCTCTGTCCCTGCCTCGCACACTAGGGCTTGTTCTTGTCATCTACCCAAGGACGTCATGCCAGAAATTCTGTACTGTTTCTTGCCCTGTCTATTTTCTCTTTCTGCTCGGTTATTTATATCAACATATAAGTACACTGTTATTTCTCCCATCTTTAAAAGGTTCTGTTCTTCCCCCACCATCATTTTTCTGTTTTTCTTCTTTCCCTCAGAGCTACCTGCTCCCGCAGAGCCGGGTCTGTATTATCTCTGATTCCTTGTTCCTGGTCTCCAGTCAGATGTTCACCACAGCACTTTGTGGGGCTGCTTTTGTTAGGGCCTCTGTGACCTGCACAGCCTCAGCCCTTATCCTACAGACCTATCTCAGCCTTTTCTCAGTTGTCACTCCTTTCTTTTTGATACCCTTTTCTGTCTCTTTTTCTGGATCCTCTTATTCTCCACTAAATGTCACTGTGTGCTTCAAACCATTCTGTTTGCCATCTTGTCATCTCACCTATTCCCATGGCATTAAATATTTTAATCCCGATTTTTCATCTTTGGTCCAGGCCCCCTCCTGGACGCCAGTCCTGTATATCCCACCAGGTTCTCACCATCTCCACGCGGAGGCCCAGGAGGTACTCCAAAAGTCACTCGTCGAGTGAGAGCTCCAGATAGTCCCTGGGGTCTCTGTCAGTGGGAACTCTGTCCTTCCAGCTGCTCAAGCCAAAACCTTTGGAGGCATTCTTAACTCTTTTTTCTTCTTACCTTGATCCATACCTGACTCCTTGTCATATCTCCGACTACCTTCCAAGTGCATCCAGAATATGATCCCTTCTCTACCCTCCTGGTCCAAGCCACGCCGGTAGCTCTTGACTGCGTGGCCACAGCAGCCCTCTAACTGGTCTGTTTCTGCCCGTGTCCCTTTCAGTCTGCCTTCAGCACGATAGCCAGAATGGCCATGTTTAAAAATAAAACCATAAAATTAACACACCTCTAGCTGGACTGATGGAGGAGAAGAGGAAGAAGGTAACCACCAGTGTGAAGACCAAAGAGATCCTGAGTCACTACAGACCCTGCTGATGTTAAATGTAAGAAAAGGAGATTTTATGAACAACTTTGTATCAATAACTTCAACAACTAAATGGAATGGAAACATTCCTTGACACAACTGAAAAAAAATAAATAAACCTGAACAGTAGCATGTTTATTAAATAAATTAAATTCGTAATTATAAGCTTTCCAACAAAGAAGTCCCAAACCCAGTTAGCTACTACACTGGTGAAGTCTATCAAATATTTAAGGAGGAAGAAATGCCAATTCTACACAAACATTTCCAGAAAATAGAAAAAGAGAGAATATTTCTGCAACCTATTTTATGAGGTCAGCATTATTCTGATACAAAAGCTGGACAAAGACGTTATTAGAAAAGAAAGTTACAGACCAACATCCCTCATGAGTATAGAAACAAAAATCTTCAACACGGTGTCAGTGAACTGCATCTCTATATGTAATAAAAATACATGGTGACCTAAGTAGGGTTTATCCCAGGAATGAAGGTTGGTTCAAGTTTAAAAATCAATCAATATAAATTAAGATATCAAAGAAGGAAAACTGTATGATCATCTCAGTATCTCCAGAGAAGGCATTTCACAAAATTCAAAATTCATTCCTGATTTTTAAAAAAGTATATACTGACTAGAAATTAAAAGAAACTTCCTCAGTCTGATCAAGGATATCTATGGAAAACTTGTACCATGCTTAACAGAGAAAGACTAACTCCTTTGCCCCTAAGATCAAGAGCAGGGCAGGGACGTCTGCTGTCATCATTCTGGTGTGACACCATAATTGAGGTCCTTGCTATTATAGTGAGTAGAGAGAAATAAATAAGAGGTGTGCCAATCAGACAGGAAGAAATAAAACCTCCTCTATTCACAATTGACGTGCTTCTCTACACAGAAAAGCCTAAAGAGTCTAATAAAATGTTAATAAAACTGACGCATCTATAAGCCAAGGAATGTTGGAATCCAAAGACTGTTGGGAACTACCAGAAGCTTGGAAGAGCAAGGAAGAATTCTTCATTTAAGCCTTTGGAGGAAGCACAGTCCTGCCAACACCTTGATTTTTAGCCTCTGGCCTCTAGAACTGGGACAATAAATTTCTAAGTAAATAAAGCCATAAAAAATGTGTTACTAAAACTATAAGTATAGCAAGGTTGCAGGATACAAGGTCAGTATACCAAAAGCAACTGTATTTCTCTGTATGACAATTTAAATTGAAAGATAATTCCATTAAAATCATACCAAAAACATGAAATAATTCTGTATTGCTGGATAATTCTAAAAAACAGATACACAAGATTTGTATGCTGCAAGTTTCAAAATACTAAAGTAATCAAAGAAGACCTAAGTAAACCAAGGACTATATCATCATGTTCATGCATCAGAAGACTCAGTATTGCTTTGGAATCACTTCTTTCCACATTGATCAATAGAATCAGTGTTATCCCAATCAAAACTCCAACAGGCCTTTTGAGGAGAAATTTATAAATCAGTTCTAAAATGTTATGTGGAAAATCAAAAGAACTTGAGTAACCAAAACAATCTTGAAGAAAGAAAATGTTGGAAAACTCACCCTACCTGAATCAAAGACTTTCTATAGTGCTATGTTGACATGTCCTGTCTCATGGTGACGTGATAGATGTAGGTCAGTGGAACACAGTAGAGACTCCAGAGATAGACTCACACTCACATAGTCAACTTATTTTTGATGAAGTTGTAAAGGCAATTAATGGAGAAAAGATAAACTTGGCAACAAATAGTGCTGAAAAAATTTACACAACTATATGCCCCTCTTCCCTCACGTAAAAAGATCTTGACATTTACTGTCTTGGTCTCCTCAGGCTGCCATAAAAAGATACCATAAGTGAGTGACTTAAAAACAAAAATTTATTTCTTGCAGCCTGGAGGCTGGAAGTCCAAGATCGAAGGGTCAGGAAGGTAGGTTTCATTCCGGGGCTTGTTCTGCTGTCTTGTAGGTGACCAGCTTCTCGGTGTGCCCCGCACATGGCCTTCACTCTGAGCACACGGAGAGTGAGTGAGGTCTCTGGTGTCTCTTCTTATGAGGACATTAATCCCGTAGGTCAGGGTCCCACCCTTACAATCTAATTTCACCTTAATTCCTCCTAGGAACCATCTCCAAATACAGTCACATTGGGATGTAAGGCTTCAACACAGTTGGAGATGGGAACACAGTTAGGTGCACAGCACGTACCTTTTACCTTGTACCAAAATTAACTTGAAATGCATCATAGATGTAAATGTGAAATGTAAAATTATAAAACCTCTAGAAGAAAACAGGAAGGAAAATCTTGGCAAATGTGGTTTGGGCAAAGATTTTTTTTAAGACATGAAAAGCATGAGCCCCAAAAGAAAACATTGATAAACTATACTTTATCAAATTAAAAACTTCTGCTCTTCAAAAGACATATAAGAAAAATGAAAATACAACTCAAAGACAGGGAGAAAATATTTGTGAAACACATATCTAACATGGATTTGGTTTCCAGAATATATAAAGACATCTCACAACTCAGTAATATGAAAATAGACAACCCAATAAACATGGGAAGAGATTTGAACAGACACATCACCAGAGAAGACATAGGGAAGGCGAGCAAACTAACTTGTAAAGAAGGTCAGTATCATTAATCATTAGAGAAACCGAAAACAAAGCCCTAAAAAGAGAACACTATATGCCAATTGAAATGGTTAAAGTGCTTTTTAGACTGACAATTGTAAGTGCTGTGAGAATGCAGAAAACTGGAATTCTTAAGAGTTGCTGGTATGAATACAAGGTAGAATGGCTCCTTTGGAAAACATTTTGGCAGTTCCTATCATACGGTACAGCCATCCCTTTCCTAAGCGGGATGAAGTGAAAGCGTATGTCCACCAGAAAAACATAATGCAAATGCTTACTGCTTTATTCATAATTGCCTAAAACTGTAACAATCTGAAAGTCCATCAATCGGTGATTGGATAAACAAACAGTGGTCTATCCAAACAAGGAGATAGTACCTGGCAATCAAAAGAAACAGATTCCTAACACATTCACTGCATGTATTAATCTCAAATGCATCATGCTGAGTGAAAGAAGACAGACTCAAAAGTCAGCACAGTGTGCAATACCACCTGCACGACATTCTGAAGAAGCCAGGACAGCTGGGACAGAAGCGGCGATGGGCATGGACAGGAGGAGCCTAAGGGACTGGCCACAAAGGGCTGGCAGTACCCTGGCAGCCGTATAGGATCCATGAATTGATTGTAGCAGTAGCTCCATGGCTGTGTGTGCACTTGTCAAGATTCATAGAGTGGGGAAACTAGAAAGGGTGGGTTTTATTGTCTGTAAATTATGCCTTAATAAACCTAGTGTTAAAAAAGATAAACCAGAGTATTCCATTCCTCTGCTCAGAACCCTCTGCGGCTTCGCGTCTCAGCATCTCCTGCTGCACCTCCCCGCCCTCTGACCAGGTTTGCCTTCCCACACGTGTGTGACACACCACGGCCCTTGCACCTTCTGCTCCTGTCCCGCCTGCAGGGTCTCACACACAGGCCACCTTCTCGGGAGACCTTTCCTCACGTCTCTGTCTGAACTGCCACCCTCCTGATGGGTCTCGCCCCTCACCACTCGGCTTTTCCTCTCTGGGGCTTTCTAATCCATGCTTCTTTTGTTTCTGTTCCACCAACTAGCATCGTACTGACACTCGGTGGGCACCCAGTAAATACGGAATGGATGGATGCGTGGCAGGAACACGTCCCTATTCCTACTGCGGCCTCTTTCCCGCCACGCACACGTCTGCCCACTTGAACATGCACCTCACACGCCTCTCCCTCCGGGCGGCTCCTGCAGGGAGAGCTCTGCCTCGCCTCCCCGGCGCGGTTCTTCCCCCCACCTTCCTCCCAGGACCAGCTCGGCTGTTCCCCCAGGGGGCCGTGGGATGGCCCCTAACGTCTCTCTCTCCCCCCCACCGAACCCTTGTCGGGCACCAGCGGGCATGAAGCAGCACCAGTGTGACGCAGAGCTGAGGAAGGAGGTTTCCTCTGTATGGGCCAATCTGCCCCAGAAGACGCTGGACTTACTGGTGCCACCCCATAAACGTAAGTGGGGGTGAGATTCCCCCCCCGGCCCTCTTGTGTCCCTTCCAGAGGCAGAGCAGGGGGCCTGGTGAGGGCGACTGTCGAGCTGCCTTGGGAAGGTGGGCTCACCTCTTCACTGTCTGGACTTAGCTCGCCTGCAGGGAAAAATGGGCTTAAAGTGGGTGCTCAGGGGCTGAGGGACAAGACGGTCAGGGTTTTATTCTGTTGTACCAATTCACCCATGTTCCTAGTGTGGGGGATTTACTGCCGGAAATTCAGAGGAAAGGTCATGAGACATGAATAGTTAGAGATACCAAAAAGGATGATGTGCTTGGAGATTAAACTCAACCCCTCTGTTGGGAGGAGACGGAAGCGCTTCGTGAAGGGCCAGCGTGGCTGCCGCTGGGATGGGCACTCAGGCTCCTGGCTGAGCTCCATGCTCCTGCCTGGGCGTGCCCAGAGGTCCTCACGGTGGGGCACTGTTTCCCCACCCACTCTCCCTCATGCTTTTTGTGGCTCTTCTGTCCCCTTTCTCCTCCGAATCCAAGCTCTGTGATCTCTCCCTTGCCTTCTTCTCTCCAGCCGATGAAATGACAGTGGGGAAAGTCTATGCAGCTCTGATGATCTTTGACTTCTACAAACAGAACAAAACCACCAGAGACCAGACTCACCAAGCTCCAGGAGGCCTGTCCCAGGTACCCGGTTCCAGGATTTCCCAGAATGGCTAACTCTGAGTACCTTCACTTGTGGGACAGCAGACAACCATTCCTTTCCTAGAGAGAGTGCAGGGGAAAAGGACAAAGAGAGGTTTTTGCAGCTGCCTCTCTGGCCCCCAAAGTCAGGAACCCATATAACCTAAGGCTTTCTGTTAGCTGGCTGCCTGCTGGTGATGGGGAGCTCCTTACTTGGAGAGCTAGAATTCAGGGAAGAAGGTTAAGCGGGGTGAGAACAGAGGCAATACTACTTTTTTAAGTGGTAGAAGAAATAACTGATGAAGAATACTGGAGGGAGGTGGATTTTGGAGTTGCAAGAAGAATCCGTTTACTCTTCACACGGGCAGGTTCAAACGGACAGGTCCGAGTTATGGTTTGTTCCCCTTGTGACTGACAGGGATGTCTGGGGGCCTGTCTTTCGCATGTCATCCTTCAAAGATAGCAACTTGCTCCCACAGCCAAACCCTCAGTGACCATAAGCAGACTCTGTCTGGAAAGTTATCCAAAGGTCAGAGCTTACAGGGACACTTACTCACCGTGGGATGGGAACTCTGTGGTGCCCATACTCTATTGGAAACACCATCCTAGCTCTGAAATCTCAGAATTCTGCTCCATCTAGGGCTCTGGCAGGCCCACAGTCAGTCGAAGCTGATGATGAGATCAACTCTTTTTGCCATTTGTAATGGGATCCACACTTTGTAGGTAGGGAAACTGAGGCTCCAAGAAATGAAACGACTTTCCTGATGTCGCTTACAGGCCAGGCTGAGAGCAGGGCCCTGGCTGCCTCACACATAAGGGTGGGGATGGCACAGGGCCGGCCCTGGCGTCTCTGAGATGTGCCGTCAGGGCAGGTCTCTGAGGGGCAGTTGTGTCCTCAGAGCTCCCCCTCTTCCCCGTGTCGGCCCTGCAGATGGGCCCCGCATCCCTGTTCCACCCTCTGAAGGCCACACTGGAGCAGACGCAGCCGGCTGTGCTCCGAGGAGCCCGCGTTTTCCTTCGGCAGAAGAGCTCAGCGTCCCTCAGCAACGGCGGAGCTGTGTGAGTACCTAGGGCAGCCAGGAGAAAGCAGGGGTCCTGGTTCCCCTACCTACTGTGCTCACTCCCACTGCCCGCTGCGTTCCTGGGCTGTGGGCAGTGCTCCAGGACTGGAAGCCCTCCACTGCCATCACAGCTTTTGGGGATTGGCTGCACTGTTCACCCCACGCTCACCTCCACCCAGGTGTGTCCTTGTGGGCACTGCATAGAAGCTAGTCCAGGCCTGCTGCCTGAATGATGGTGTGGTGGTGGACTCTGAAATCAGTTCCATGACATCAGATGTGTGCCTCTGGCAGCGTGGAGCCCAACTGTCTCCTCCCACTGTGCACACATATTCCTCTTTCAGGGGAGGGTCTTTGCTTCTGCTTCCCCATTGGCTCTTGAGGCCTGCACACTGTTAAGAAATTATTGTTTATACCTCCTGTCCTCCCCCTACGCCATTCTATTAAATAGCATGTTAGTGTTTTAACCTTCCTAACCTCCTTAGGATATAGTTCTTTTCAGATTTCCTTTCTGTATTGATTTCTGAAGCAATTGTAATTTGTAGACAAATTGGTAAGATCTTTTTCTGTGCTATAACTCTTGCCACAATAATTCTTGGTAACAGGCCACCCAAAATTTAGTGCGGCAAAATAACAATCCCTTTATTTTCCACTCTGTGGGCTGCTAAGTGGTGCAAGCTGGAGACTGGGGTACGTTCCCTCAGCCACCCCTAGGCCGTGTCTGCTGACATCCCACTGGCCGAGGCAACTTGAGGGCTGAGCCCTGCAAACCACATGTGCCATGCCTTGCCTAGCAAGGGCTGAGGGACTGGGCCTGGTACCCAGCCTGCCCTCCTGGAGAAAGATGAGGCCAGGTATAGCATATGTGATAGGCTCCCGATTTCTTCCTTTCCTGCACATTTGGACATTCTTTTTTTAGGCCTAATTTTGTTTCTTGGACTGTTAATCAGCTTTTGCTGAGTAACAAACTGCCATAACTCAGCAATGTGTTGTGTGTGTTTTGGGGCCAGCCTGGCAATCCTTTGGGACTGGGCCTGGGCTAGCTCCTCTGGGGCCAATGGGTACATGGTGGCTGATTCTCATGCCCAGGGTCTGGGCTCATCACCTACTGAGGGTCTGAGAATAGCCAGGCCTCAGAGGGAGACCAGAGCATGGGTGTTCAGACCTCTCCTTGTGCCCTATTGACAAAGCAAGTTGCCTGGCCGGGCCTGAGGCCCCCTGAGGTGTGGGTGACTCTGCAGGGGCGCATGTCCAGAGGGGGAGAGACCACAGAATGCCAGGAGAGCCAGACCAAAGCAGTGAGCGCTCTCTTAGGAACACTGCTTTCCCGAAGAGCGCCCTTGGGCCCTGGGCACTAGCCTCCCAGAGCCCCGGCAAGGCCCCTGTGCTCCCAATTTCCTTTCTCCATCCTGCTTAAGACCCCTGTTTTTGCATTTTAAAGTTAAATAGTTGATTCAGAGTATGTGAGTGTGGGTTGGAGAGGGTGGGGTCTTATTCCCTGTTACAATTTCTGCACGGATCAGTTGTCACTCTTCTTTATTGCAAGTGAGAGAGCACGCTCATTGAGCCTGGGTGAGGCGGCAGGGAGGTGTGAGCGCAGACCAGCTCCCAGTGCGGTGGCCTCACGAGTGCATAGACCTCAAGGCGGCTCCGTCCTCCTTGTCAGGTCAGCCGTTCCTGAGGCTGCACGGCAGGGTGCAGGGGAGACGCAGTGTGTGAGGACAGAGCGTGCTCTTCTCGGAAGCCCCAGCAGGGACCGGCCTGGGCATTAGTGTGGCCAGCTGAAGCCCTCATGTCCCCACCCCCAGTCTGAGCTCAGGGTATGGTTGATGCCACTCAGCCTGCGTGACTGCGAGTAGAACAGTGTCACAGGCAGCAGGAACCCAGGCAAATGCTCGGCATTTCCAGTGCCTGTGGGAGACATGATAAGGAGGACAGATCCTGACAGGGAAAGGCAGCAGGTGGGGTGCGTGTGCCGGGGATGGCCTCCCCGAAAAGAAGACACTTGAGCCTAGATCTGCAGGGCAGAAAGGCCTCCCTGCCTAGAGGTCAGGGGGCTTGGGAGGAGCGAGTGACTGTGGAGGTGAGGAAGGGGCAGGTCCTCAGGAGGGCGCTGTGAGCTCTCTGGGCTGGCTGTGCTCCAGCACAGGAAGGGTGTCCTGAGCTACTGTTCTGCACGCTGTACACATGCGGTCTTTGCCATGAGCAATCCCTGCTTCCATGGCACACGTGAGTCCCTGTCTAGGGCTGAGGAACCAGCCAGACGTCCCCAGACAAGGAAGTAGTGGACCCAGGCTTCCCCTGGATGGGTGGCCAGGGTCGCCTCTCCTCTGCCCATTCTGAGCTCTGGCATTGGGTCCACATTTCTTGCTGCACCTCCGATTATGACGCCGTGGACCTAAAGGGTATTGGTTTCCGGTAGCTTCCTGGTAGCCAGGCCCTGGGTGGGCATTCTGTGGCCACTGAGCTGACAGGGCCATCCTTTCCTCTCCACAGACAGACCCAAGAGGGCTGCATGGAGGAATCTGTTTCCCGAGTCACCCAGAAGGCCCAGAAGGCACCCCAGGAAGTGAGGACACCCCTGGCACATGGCCACTCCACAGAGATCCCAGCGGTACAGCCAGGAAGACCCGTGGGGGCCCCCAGGGCTGGGGGTCCGGGCGAGGGACTGATAGGGGTGTGAGACATGGCTGGGGTGGGCTCGGGGAACAGCAGTAACTGGGAGGCTGCCGTATCTCCAGGCCACGGATGTCCAGATGCAGGGCATGGCCCTGAGAGGCCCTGCTGGAGAATCCCAACCTGGGCTGGAGAGCCAGGGCCGAGCGGCATCCATGCCTCGCCTGGCGGCAGAGACTCAGGTGGGTGGTCTGGGAAGGTCAGGGTCGTGGGAGGGCGTAGGTGGTGAGGAGTCCTGGCGTAGGGAGGGTTTGTGTCCCGGGTGGGGGCTTGGCTGGGATGGACTCCCCCTGGCATCGTGGTGGCCAGTATACCGTCAGCCCCTTTGGGTGTCCCCAGAACGCAATACTGGTCTGTAGAGGTGTGGCCAGGTCAGCTGCCTGCCTGTGCTGGGCATCCTGTCTGGGCACTATGGCCTCCAGCCTCATGCCCCTGGCCCAGCCTGTCCCTCCCTGAAACACCCCAGCTGCTGCCCTCCTCCAGGGAACACACCCAGCGCCTCACACATTGGTTCACCCTTTGCCCCTTCGCGTCCTTGACGCCTCAGAAGTTCCAGGGATGCCCTGCCTTGTTCTCTCTCTGGACACTGGAGGCAGTGTCCCCTCCTGCCCCTGATCTTTTTGGGACATTGAACCAAGCGGGAAGGCCCCTTGGGTGGGGAGCTGTGACTTTGCATACTTCCTGGGCTGTTGAGCGGCCTGCAGACCCGAGGCCGTGAAAGGGGTCTCTGCTTTCACTGGCCAGGTAGGTGAGGGGCCAGAGAGGGGCTTGGCCTGTGCCTCAGACCTTCAAGGCCTGCCCAGGACTGTGCCAGCTCCAGTTAGCCCGAGAGTGGCCTGAGCCCTCTGTGTGTTTCTTCCAGCCCTGTCCCTGCCTCTTTTTTTGTGGTTTCTGGTTCTGTACAGTTAATAATGGACTTCATTCTTGTAATTTTCTCCTCTGTCACTCCCACTGGTAGTGCTTCTGTCCTCTTCCAGTTCCTCACCCTGACTGGCTCAGTGGAGTCAGGGCCCGGCCCCCTCCCTCAAGTGAACGCACAAATTCTCCGTTCCATGCCTCTTCTCCCTCCTTTTTTTCTTTCTTTATTCTTTTGGTATCATTAATGTACAATTACATGAGCAACATTATGGTTACTAGACTCCCCCTATTATCAAATCCCCCCCACATACCTCATTACATTCACTGTCCATCGGCGTAGTAAGATGCTGTAGAATCACTACTTGTCTTCTCTGTGTTGTACTGCCTTTCCCATGTCCCCCCCCACCTTATACATTCTAATCATAATGCCCACCTTTCCCCCTTATCCCTCCCTTCCCACCCACCCTCCCCAGTCTCCTTCCCTTTGGTAACTGTTAGTCCATTCTTGGGTTCTGTGCTTCTGCTGCTATTTTGTTCCTTCAGATTTTACTTTGTTCTTATGCTCCACAGATGAGTGAGATCATTTGATACTTATCTTTTTCCACCTGGCTTATTTCACTGGGCATAATACCCTCAAGCTCCATCCATGTTGTTGTAAATGGGGGATTTGTTTTCTTCTTATGGCTGAATGATATTCCATTGTGTATATGTACCACCTCTTCTTTATCCATTCATCTACTGATGGACACTTAAGTTGCTTCCATTTCTTGGCTGCTGTAAATAGTGCTGCGATAAACATAGGAGCGCACATGTCTTTTTCAAACTGGGCTGCTGCATTCTTAGGGTAAATTCCTAGGAGTGGAATTCCTGGGTCAAATGGCATTTCTATTTTGAGCATTTTGAGGAACCTCCATACTGCTTTCCACAATGGTTAAACTGATTGACATTCCCACCAGCAGCGTAGGAGGGTTCCCCTTTCTCCACATCCTCGCCAACATTTGTTGTTTGTCTTTTGGATGGTGGCCATCCTAACTGGTGTGAGGTGATATCTCATTGTGGGTATAATTTGCATTTCTCTGATGATTAGGGATGTGGAGTATCTTTTCATGTGCCTGTTGCCCATCTGAATTTCTTCTTTGGAGAAGTGTCTGTTCAGCTCCTCTGCCCATTTTTTAATTGACTTCTGAAGTTTTTGTTTGTTGAGGTGCATGAGCTCTTTATATATTTTGGATGTCAACCCCTTATTGGATATGTCATTTATGAATATATTCTCCCATTCTGTAGGGTAACTTTTTGTTCTATTGATGGTGTCCTTTGCTGTGCAGAAGCTTTTCAGTTTGACATAGTCCCACTTGTTCATTTTTTATTTTGTTTCCCTTGCCCTGAGAGATATGTTCATGAAGAAATTGCTCATATTTATGTCCAAGAGATTTTTGCCTATGTTTTTCTCTAAGAGTTTTATGGTTCCATGACTTACATTCAGGTCTTCGATCCATTTTGAGTGTACTTTTGTGTGTGGGGTTAGACAGTAATCCAGTTTCATTCTCTTTCATGTAGCTGTTCAGTTTTGCCAACATCAGCTGTTGAGGAGGCTGTCATTTCCCCACTGTATAGCCATGGCTCCTTTATCATATATCAATTGACCATATATGCTTGGGTTTATATCTGGGCTCTCTAGTCTGTTCCATTGGTCTATGGGTCTGTTCTTGTGCCAGTGCCAAATTGTCTTGATTACTGTGGCTTTGTAGTAGAGCTTGAAGTCAGGGAGTGTAATTCCCCCCACTTTATTCTACCTTCTCAGGATTGCTTTGGTTATTTGAGGTTTTTTGTGGTTCCATATGAATTTTAAAACTATTTTGCTCTAGTTCATTGAAGAATGCTATTGGTATTTTGATAGGGATTGCATTTAATCTGTAGATTGCTTTAGGCAGGATGACCATTTTGACAATATTAATTCTTCCTATCCATGAGCATGGGATGTCTTTCCATTTACTGGTATCTTCTTTAATTTCTCTCAAAAGATTGTCTTGTAGTTTTCAGAGTATAAGTCTTTCACTTCCTTGGTTAGGTTTATTCCTAGCTATTTTAATCTTTTTGATGCAATTGTGAATGGAATTATTTTCCTGATTTTTCTTTCTGCTAGTTCATTGTTAGTATATAGCAATGCAACAGATTTCTGTGTATTAATTTTGTATCCCGCAACTTTAATGAATTCAGATATTGTATCTAGTAGTTTTGGAGTGGATTCTTGAGGGTTTTTTATGTACAGTGTCATTCATCATGTGAAACAGTGTCAATTTACCTTCTTCCTTGCCAATCTGGATGCCTTGTGTTTCTTTGTTTTGCCATGGCTAGGACCTCCAGTACTATGTTGAATAAAAGTAGGGACAGTGGGCGTCCTTGTCTTGTTCCCAATCCTAGGGGAAAAGCTTTAAGCTTCTCGCTGTTAAGTATAATGTTGGCTGTGCGTTTGTCATATATGGCCTTTATTATGTTGAGGTACTTGCCCTCTATACCCATGTTGTGGAGAGTTTTTATCATGAATGGATGTTGAATTTTGTTGAATGCTTTTTCAGCATCTATGGAGATGATCATGTGGTTTCTGTCCTTTTCATTGATGTGATGGATGATGTTGATGCATTTTCGAATGTTGTATCATGCTTCCATTCCTGGGATGAATCCCACTTGATCATGATGGATGATCTTTTTGATGTATTATTGAATTCAGTTTGCTAATATTTTGTTGAGTATTTTTGCATCTATGTTTATCAGGGATATTGGTCTGTAATTTTCTTTTTTTGTGGTGTCTTTGCCTGGTTTTGTTATTAGAGTGATGTTGGCTTTGTAGAATAAGTTTGGGATTATTCCCTCCTCTTCTACTTTTTGGAAAACTTTAAAGAGGATGGGTATTTGGTCTTCATTAAATGTTTGATAATATTCAGCAGCGAAACCATCTAGTACAGGTGTTTTGTTCTCAGGTAGTTTTTTGATAACCAATTCAATTTCTTTGCTGGTAATTGGTTTATTCAGGTTTTCTGTTTCTTCCTTGGTCGGTCTTTGTAGGTTGTATTTTTCTAGAAAGTTGTCCATTTCTTCTAGGGTATCCAGTTTGTTAGCATATAATTTTTCATAGTATTCTCTCATAATTCTTTGTATTTCTGTGGTGTCCATAGTGATTTTTCCTTTCTCATTTTTGATTCTGTGTATGTGTGTAGACTCTCTTTTTTCTTGAAAAGTCTGGCTAGGGGTTTCTCGATTTTGTTTATTTTCTCGCAGAACCAGTTCCTGCTTCCGTTGATTCTTTCTGTTGTTTTATTCTTCCCAATTTTATTTATTTCTGCTTTAATCTTTATTATGTCCTTCCTTCTACTGACTTTGGGCCTCATTTGTTCTTCCTTTTCTAGTTTCATTAATTGTAAGTTTAGACTGTTCATTTGGGATTGTTTTTCTCTCCTGAGGTGGACCTGTATTGCAGTATATTTCCCTCTTAGCACGGCCTTTGCTGCATCCCACAGATTTTGTGTTGTTGAATTATTGTTGTCATTAGTCTCCAAATATTGCTTGATCTCTGTTTTTATTTGGTTATTGATCCATTGATTATTTAGGAGCATGTTATTAAGCCTCCATGTGTTTGTGGGCTTTTTCATTTTCTTTGAGTAATTTATTTCTAGTTTCATACCTTTGTGATCTGAGAAGCTCGTTGGTACAATTTCAATCTTTTTTAATTTACTGAGGCTCTTTTTGTGGCCTAGTATATGATCTATTCTTGAAAATGTTCCATGTGCACTTGAGAAGAATGTGTATCCTGTTGCTTTTGGAAGGATTGTTCTGTAGATGTCCGTTAGGTCCATCTGTTCTAATACATTGTTCAGTGCCTCTGTCTGTTTATGTTCTGTCTGGTTGATCTGTCATTTGGAATGAGTGGTGTGTTGAAGTCTTTCAAAACAAATGCATTGGATTCTATTTCCCCCTTTAATTCTATTAGTATTTGTTTCACATATGTAGGTGACCCTGTGTTGGATGAATAGATATTTATAATGGTTATATCCTCTTGTTGGACTAACCCCTTTATCATTACGTAATGTCCTTCTTTGTCTCTTGTGACTTTCTTTGTTTTGAAGTCTATTTTGTCTGATACAAGTACTGCAACTCCTGCTTTTTTTCTCCCTATTAGTTGCATGAAATATCTTTTTCCATCCCTTTACTTTCAGTCTGTGTATGTTTTGGGGTTTGAAGTGAGTCTCTTGTAGGCAGCATATAGACGGGTCTTTTTTTTTTTATCCATTCAGTGACTCTACATCTTTTGATTGGAGCATTCAGACCATTTACATTTAGGGTGATTATCGATAGGTATGTACTTATTGCCATGGCAGGCTTTAGATTTGTGGTTACCAAAGGTTCAAGGGTAATACTCTTACTATCTAACAGTCTAATTTAACTCATTTCATATGCTATTACAAACACAACCTAAAGGCTGTCTTTGTTGTTGTTTTTTTCCTCC